TCTGATGATTCTTTCATGGTGTTGCATTTTCTACAAACAGCAGTTTACATGATCAACCATCAAAAAGGATTTTTTGCTATAATTTTATGATTTCATCATCAAAGGGGTGCACATAGTTTTTCGAAAGAAGGATTTAGAATAAAAGAATATTTTTGGATTTTGAGGGACTGTATAGAACTGTTCAGATATTAGTTAATAGTACTTTAATTATTCTTAAGTGCATTAAGAACAAAATCAATCTGTTTTAAAAGTTAAAAGACAAAGTATATGTATGGCGGTTTTGAATTAAAAACATAATTGAAGTTTCGCACATTTTTTTTAACCAAATTAAACTACAGCAAATTTTTTAGTTTACCTTTTTCTGGGAAAATTTAATTTTGTCTTAATTACTTACTTCTTTAAAATTTATAAGATAAAGGTTTTCCGTCCACGAAGTACATTTTTTATTGCCTTATAATTAGTATTATAGTGACAAATATTTTAGTAGGGTAAGCTAAAAATTGTCCAGGTAGCAATGTCAAAAGCTTAAATAAGAGCAAGTCCAATATATTAATCTTTTTACATCTTCTCCTTGCATTTTCTAAACTATTATTCTTATTGATTTAGGATTGGTTTCATTATATTTAGCATAAAAGATGCAATAGAGACAATAACTCATCTGTTTAGATATCAATATTAAAGTATATTCCAATTTTTGACTCTCTATATTCCTTCCCCTCTCAGTGTTTTTCTTATTTCAAAATGCAAAAAGGAAAAACTGAACTACTGTCAAAACTTTAACATTAAAATGCATACGGAATGTAATTGCGAAACCTGTAATTGAAGTTACTTTTATTTTGAACATGTTGTGGTAACAAATAGTTTCATAAAAAAATCCTAATGCAGAAAAAATTTGAAACTTTTGGCACCTTTGAATTAGCAAGTTTTACAATTTTTGTGGATACAGTTTTTTATATACTGTCAGACCTCGATATAAGGTCACCTTAAGGTTCATCGCAAAAGTGACTTTATAAGCTGGGAGACCTTTTAACCGATTCATTAGCAGTTCGTAACTAAGAACGTAAATAGTACACATTATGATTTTTTTAAAATGGTAATACAAACGAAAACGATTGGCCATAAATTAAATGCTTAAGTCAATAAATTTTAACAGAATTAGTAAGGAATTAAAGAAAAAATTAAAAAAAAAAATTAATTTGAAATAAAGTTGTTTAGAAATTTCCTCAAAAGTATATATACATACATTACATCTTACTTTATTTAAAATAAATCATTTATGCAGGTCTGTCTCGTTTTTGGTTTCATTTTTCGAATAATGTTTTCTAGATTTTGAATTTTCTCAAAATGTTTCTCAGCTCCCTCATGATTTGTAAAAAAATTTCGTATGACATTTATTGCATTGAAGGCTTCCGCTTGGGTTACAGCTACAGTGTCAGGATCACTGTCATTGTCCTCACTGTGAAACAATTTCAAAATTATAATTTTGCTCGTTGGTTGCGACATTCTTATTGAACTCGAGAGGGATAATTGCCTTGTAAAGAAGTTAAATAGGCTTTTGTTAGAAAAGAGCTCCCCTCGCCTCAAATAAAAATGACCTTATAAGGGATAACGATTTTTAAAACTTGACCATATGTCCAATAATCTGTAACATAGAATTCCTATTCAGTGAGCCGGGACTTTGGAAAAGTGACCTTATATGCGGGTTGACCTTATATCGAGGTCTGACTAATTTTTTTTTCCTTTTTATTTTTTTTACTATTATTATTTTTTTTTACATAACCGTTGTTTAACAGCCGACCCAATTTTTGGGTTTATGACTACTAATGTCCACCTACGCAGCCTTGTAATTTTGAACCTAATCCAGAAGACAATGGGACTCCTGGATCAAGTATTGAGAGAAATTTGCCTTCGTGGAGGACTTTATGATGGATATTTCACGTCAACACTGTGATCGGTGAAAGCCGGATGCGGAATTCGCATCGACCAGCCATCGTTGGGATTCGATCCCGGTTCACTTCATTGGAAGTCCATATATCCCATGAGCCATTGCTGCTCTGTAGATGCAGTTTCGATAAAAGCTACAAAACTTATTATTGTTTTCCAATTGATTTTTGATTGGAAAGATTGAGGACACGCTATTATCATTCAAAGGACGCAGTTTGTGCTCTCCTACTCTAAGATATTGGGTAGGTAGGTACTTTATTTACGTCGCACTGGATCAATGCTAAGACATTGGAAGTCAGTGTATTCTTTAACATTATTCTCCATATCATTTCTTTGCTGTCTGTATAATTAAAGTAAGCCACATCAATTTTTGGAAAAATGTGCTATAATTTTATATTATTAATTTATATTATTAATAATATAAATGGTAATTTTTTTTATTATTAATAAAATTACCATGCTGGTTTTATTAACATAACTTTATTAAGACAAGACACATGGAGAACTATAGTTTGTCTAAAGTAAGA